AGGTTTCCAAGGTGCTATTGGGAGCTCATGCACTTCTGGCCAATGGATCTGTGATGTCACGGGTAGGGACAGCACAGCTGGCCTTAGTGGCGCGAGCCCATAACGTGCCAGTGCTGGTCTGCTGTGAAACATACAAGTTCTGTGAGCGCGTACAGACTGATGCCTTTGTCTCTAATGAGCTAGGTAAGCAAGGCAGAAGAGAACCTCTGGAGAGCTGAGATTTATGAGGGAGAGGGGAGGTTAAAACCCTAACTTCTTTTCGGACATAATGGGTCCCCCTCCCACTGCAGATGACCCTGATGATCTGCGGTGTGAGCGGAAAGATCATGTGGCCCTGGCTAACTGGCAGAACCACTCATCACTACGGCTGTTGAATTTGGTTTACGATGTGACTCCTCCAGAGCTTGTGGACCTGGTCATCACAGAGCTGGGCATGATCCCTTGTAGTTCTGTACCTGTTGTCCTACGAGTCAAGAGCAGTGACCAGTGAGGGTGAAACACGATCAATAAATGACATACATCCTCCCCTTAGCAACTCTGCTGCCTTTGTATCTTTTAACATGTCCATTCCTTAAATTAGGGGCTCATTCTCCCCAGCCCCTCTCACTACCTGTGGCTGAGACTTTTGTGGAAACTCTCAGGTGACTCACTTTACACCAGGGCCTGGGGCCCTGGTAAAGGTCCATATGGAGATCAACTGTCCAGATCTTAAATCATTCTGAGTATCTTATGGCAGACACTGATCTAGGATAAAAGTTCTGGTCTTACTAATGTCAGTATTTATTGAGTACTTGTGTGTCAGAAACTATTCGGATTTTCTTCTGATGTTAGGAAGATTATCTTATCTGCTTGTGGTGGTGCATCCCTGTAATCCCAGTACTTGGAAGGCTGAGGCAGGATTGGAAGGCCTGGTCTACACACCAAGATCAAGGTGAGCCTACATTCCATAGCAAAACCCTGCCTCAAACAAAAGAGATTAATGTGTCTCAAATAAATGAGCTCTTACAAATGAGAAAACTGAGGCACCCAGAGCTTAAAATAGCTTGCCAAGGTAACAGCTAATCAGCAGGTAAAACAATGTGATCGCAAGTAATCTGAATTGAGGTCTATGTTACATGCCCTTAGGAGTATTAATCACAGAACAGGAAGACAAACATCCAGTATGAGATAAGCTTTACTAGTGTTATGAGCAAAGTTCCTTCAACAGGTAAGGATGATAACACTGAGTCTAGCAATAATGGTAAAGGCTTTACAAAAAGATCTGGGGCTGGGCATGGTGGTACATACATATAATCCCAGTGGGGGCGGGTGGAGGGGGTACAGGAAGGTTGAGGCTAGAGGATTTCTGCAAGCCTAAACTACATAGCAAGGCTCTGTCTCTTAACAAAACAGAAACAAGTATGTTTTGACCTAGTCTTTAAAAGAGTTGTTTTCTAGTTAAAAGGAATGGGTATGGTGGCACATGCCTGTAATCCCAGCATTCAGGAGGCAGATGCAGGAGGATCATAGAGTTAGAGGGCTGCCTACACTGCGTAATGAAGCTCTGTCTAAAAGAAAAAGTTAAGAAAGCAGAGAAAATGGCTTGAATGTTAACAGGCCTTAAAATGAGAGACCAATTTCAGTCAGGAGTGTCAAGTGGCTAAAATAGGCTTAATGTTAAGAGTAAATAAATTGTAAGGTAGATTAGGGCTGGATGATGAGACTAACCACCAATTAGTTTGAAATTGTTAAGTAATCTATTTTGTATGGTTGGATGTTTTAGTGAAACAAATTTATTTATTTTTTGGTACTGA